GATGATCATGTGGTTTTTGTCCTTGACTATGTTAATATAGTGTAATACGTTTACTGATTTACAAATGTTGAACCATCCTTGCATCCTGGGATAAATCCGATTTGGTCAGGGTGTATGATCTTCTTGATGACCCTCTGTATTCCGTTTGCCAGTATCTTGTTGAGGATTTTTTTGCATCTATGTTCATTAGGGAGATTGGCCTGTAGTTCTCTTTTTGGCTTCGGTCTTTCCCTGGTTTTGGAATCAAAGTAATACTTGCTTCCAGGAATGAATTTGGAAGCCTTGCTTCCCTTTCAATTTCCTTGATGAGTTTAACGAGTAGTGGCATTAGTTCTTCTTTAAATATCTTGTAGAATTCAGCAGTGAAGCCATCAGGACCTGGGCTTTTTTTGTTGCTCAATTTTTTTATTACATTTTCAATTTCACTCATTGTAATCGGGGTGTTTAGAATTTTTATATCTTCTTCGTTCAACTTTGGTAATTCATATGTATCTAGAAATCTGTCCATTTTCTTCTGTGTTTTCCATTTTATTAGAGTACAAGTTCTTGAAGTAGGTATTGATGATCCTCTGGATTTCTGCTGGGTCTGTTGTGACTTCACCTTTTTTGTTCTCAATTGCATGGATCTGAACCTTTTCTTTCCTTTTTTTGATAAGGTTGGCTAAGGATTATTGATTTTATTTATTCTTTCAAAAAACCAACTCTTTGATTCATTAATTTTTTGTATTGTTTTCTTAGTCTTGATTGCATAGATTTCTGCTCTGATCTTTGTAATTTCCTCTCTTGTACGAACTTTGGGTTTGTTATGCTTTTCTTTTTCTAGGAGCTTGATGTTCTGCATTAGGTTGAGTTCTCTGTTTTCCTAATATAGGCATTGACTGCTATGAATTTCCCATGTAGAAGTGCTTTCATTGTGTCCCATAGATTCCTGTATGTTGTACTGGCATTTTCATTTACTTGTAGAAACTGTCTAATTTCTTTAATTTCCTCTGTGACCCACTGGTTGTTCAGGAGGGTGTTAATTTCCATGTGTTTGTGGGAGTTTTTCAGTTTATGTCATTGATCTCCAGTTTTATTGGACTATGGCCTATCAATATACAGGGGGTGACTTCAATTTTTTTTTTTTTTTTTTTGGTACAAGGGATCGAACTCGGGACCTTGCGCTTGCAAGGCAGGCGCTGGAACCACTGAGCTAAATCCACAGGCCCAAATTCAATTTTTAAAATTTACTTAGACATGTCCTATGAGCTAGTATGTGGTCTATTTTGGAGAATGACCCGTGTGCAGC